GTGATAGCAAACCAATCAAAATATGTCTTTAGGCTAACATGAACTTACAGCAAAAAAACAAAAGAAAACATAGTGTGCCATACCCTAATTGTAAACCTATACATGGCTAGGCTTGCTCAGACAATGCTGACCCATGTCTACGAGTCAATTTAAAGGTGTTTTTCCATACATCCTAAGTGCAATACGCGTCAGTCTCCATTACGTAGCGGGCCGATTAAATCTGTCAGCCGCAAGGGTTAAAATGGATTGTTTGGCTGTAAGTCAATAGACTCATTTCCAAAAACACACAAACAGGGACGGTGTTTAGTGACAGTCCCTATCACTCAGCTGGACTCCAGAGACCGAGGCACAAAGGCCACCAGACTCTCACACTCCCTAATTTCACTCAGTGGCACAATCTCGTGGCCGTTCCCTGAGGCATCAGGAGTGAAGTGCGCACAGAAGAGAGTGCTTTTCCCAAGAGGCAACTTCCACCTCACCATCAATAAGGAAAAAACAGAATCCTGATTTATTGGTGTTTTCCAAGATCAGTCAGGGGCACTTTTCACAATGTAAAACAAAACAGCCAGCACCCCCCTCTGTCTTTATTGCACCGGCCCAGAAGTAAAACACTTTGAACTAAATCAGCTTGGTTCAAAACATATCACTAAGACACTAATGGCTACAAAATGATATACTGCAGCCAGAGATAGGGCACCACAGGGGGGCAGGAAGGGGGTGGGAAGGGGGTGGGAATCCTAAGATGCCCATACACATTGGATGAAGGGTACAAATTTTGGGCAACTGTAAATGGTGCAAACAGTTGTTCAAACTTAAATATTTGTTCGCACTTCCGCCAGGTAGTAGTATCACATAAGTCTGACAGTTTTGTGCCATTTGGGATGACCTTTGAGGAAACAGCATTAAACAGGAACACTTTCCAATGAGGACAGGACGATCTCTCACCAAATCAGATCAATATTTTCCAACATATGCGTCAAAACAAAAAGAGTGCAAAGTTTGTTTGTTGTCTTTTGAAGTTAGCCAAAGCCAGAGCAGAAAAGTCTGCCCCCTGTCACCATGCTGTAAAGCAGGACTCTTGCTCTCTGGGTGGAAGCAGTGGTCTCTCTGCAGAGGTATGACACCCCCCCTGCTGAGTCAGAGCCACATCTCACTCAGTATGGGGTGTGTCAGAGCGCTGCAATGATACTGCTGCTTCCCCAGAAAAAGCAAGGGTTCCACTACAGCCTTCCAATCAACAGGGAGCATGAACTTTGCTGATTACAGAGCTACAGGTGTTTTTCAGCAGGGGGCATGTCAGTTCTCTGCAGAGAGACCACCACTTCCCCACAGAAAGAAAGGATTGTTTTCTACAGCATGCTATAAGATGGAGAGCTCTGACTCAGAGGGGGCAGCTGCACAGAAGGATGCTTTCTCTCTGTGTGGAAGCAGTGGTATCTCTGCAGAGGTATGACACTCCCCCTGACCAGTCAGAGCTAGAGCTTTCCAATCAACACTGAGTATGAACTTTGCTCTTTGTGTGGAAGCAGTGGTCTTTCTGACACACTCCCTTCTTAGCAAGAGCTAGAGCTTTTCAGTCAACAGGGAGCATGAGCTTTGCTGAATGGAGAGCTCTAGCAATACGTAAGCAGGGGGTGGCTGCGCAGAAGCATATTTTCTCTCTGTGTGGAAGCAGTGGTATCTCTGCAGAGGTATGACACGCCCCCTGCGGAGTCTGAGCTAGAGTTCTCCAAATCAACAGTGAGCATGAGCTCTCCAATCAACAGTGAGCATGAGCTCTCCAATCAACATGAAGCATGAGCTTTTCCCAGTGCAGAGCTACAGGTGTTTCTCAACAGCGGGCATGTCAGTTCTCTGCAGAGAAACCCTTGTTTCCCCACAGAAAGAAAGAACCCTTTTCTACAGTATGCCCACAGTGGATCAGCTATTTTACTTGGGCTGTGGCTGCTTTCTAATTAAAGTAACTTGTAAGATATAGAGCTCCATCTCTGACTCAGAGGGGCAGCTGCACAGAAGGACCCTTCCTCTCTGTGGGGAGGCAGTGGTCTCTCTGAAGAGGTCTGCCGCTCCCACTGCTGAGTCAGAGCTAGAGATTACTATTTTGCAGGGAGCATGTTGCAAAGCTATATGTCTTTCTCCGCAGGGGGCATGTCAGACCTATCCAGAGAGACCACTGCTTCCCCACAGACATAAATAATCCTTTCCACCAGCATGCAGGCAGAAAATGAACTGTAAGATGTCGCACACCTTTTATTTTGATACGCCTGGAATGTATTTGACAGATTTAAATTGAACATTTAGTCGGGCTTTCATTAGAAAGAGACCTGTAAGATCAATAGGCAGCTATCCATGGGGGGTCTATGAATACTGTTCATTCTTGGAACGGTTGCCAGGTGGCAGCAGAAAGGTTCACATTCAGCACTCGTAAAGTGAAGGAAATATTCTCTTTGCTCCTGGGAAAGTTCACATTTTCAGCGATATTTTCTCAGCGACCCTGTGCTCATTATCGCTCATTTGGTGCATGTAAAGGAAGCTTTTGTATGATCGCCAATGAACAATGTCATGCTGCAAATCGCAAGCCAAACAGTCCCCCGGGATTAGATGAAATCAAATGATACAGAGTCATGACATGCAATAAAACAAAAGAAAAATGTCAAAATATTTACAGATGTATTGTTACATATAGAACGAAACATAGAATCCTTTAACAACCTCATCGTATGGGTGGCCACCCAGTGACCCATCCAGACATACACCGACTTATTGCTAGAAGTTCCTTCTACATTGTCGTTCCTTCTACTTATGCAATCATAAAGCGCAGGCGGCAGTAAAGCAATGTAACCTAGCCGGGGTCAACAACCAATGACAGGCTGGCCTTTGGCAACTGCATGGCAGCCAACTCAATGGAAGAAGGATTATAACTCCTGTGCATGATCTCTCTTTGCAAAGTCTGTTTGGTACAGCTTGCGATTTATATGAATGCGTTAACTCGCCAAGAAAGCAGCAAGTTGAAACAAAGGCTGGCGATCTTAATTTCACTTTTGAAACATTAGACATCAAAAACAGCTTGGATTCCGCCCGCAGTTTAATGATTTGTTTATTTCTGTATTTAATACGGCTCCTAACCCAATTCTTACTCCCCGGTGGGACATATTCTGAAAACTGCAAATTATGGAACTGTTTTCACCCTAATAATGCACAACAGCCACAGGGGACACTAATGGCTCAGCGATGCCTGAAAATAGTGCATAATGGGTTGTTAAAACAGACGCGATTAACCACTTACATGCCGGCACAGCTGGAGCTGCAGTGGAAGGGTAGAGCAAAAATTCCACCAACATCCTGATGTATCATACAAATTACTGCAGGGCTCAGGGGAAACGGTGAACCAGCAATTGAAGAGCTGAGAGTGCCAGATAGTAAGGCAAGCTGGGATTTGTGGTTCTTTAATAACTGTGCTATAGTTTGCACAACTCATCTGTACTGTATTTAAGAGAAGCTTGAGTGAAGTTTGAAACACCTACATTATACATAAAAGCATTTCTACATGTGAATGCATTAAAGTAATGGTGTTGGATTTTATTGCATATAGTTGCCTAGTAATTTCCAAGAGACATCCACCAATCACAAGCAATACAGTCTCTGAGTCCCACAGACTCAGAGATTCTCTACAGCACAGGTCCAACGCTTCGCCATCATAAAACCACAGATCTTTAGGTTTCCCATTATAAGACTAAGGACCCACAGATTTCCCATCAGTGGATCACATACCTATATTCCCTATCATAGGATCACAGACCCATAGTTCCCCCTAATAGTACCATAAACCTGTAGCCTCTCCATCATCGTACCACACACCCATAATTCCCCAAAACAGGACCATAGATGCTTTGCCTCCCTATCATAGGACTACAGACTCATAGTTCATCATCACAGAATCACAAACCCAAAGTTACCCATCATAGGTGCAAATACCCATAGAGTCCTTGTCATCGGACCACAGACCCATAGTTTTCCCATTATAGGACCACAAACCTGCAGCCTTTCCATCATAATACCATAGAACCCCAAAACAGGACTATAGATTCTTAGCCTTGCCTTCATAGTACCACACAGCCATAGTTCCCCATCAGAGAACCAAAGACATATGGTTCCCTATCACAGAACCACAGACCCATAGTTCCCCATCACAGAACCATAGTTTCCCATCATGGAACCACAGATCCATAGTTCCCCATCATGGAACCACAGACCCATAGTTCCCCATCAAAGAACCACATACCCATACATCCCCATTATGGAACCACAGACCCATAGTTCTCCATCGCAGAACCATAGTTCCCCATCACAGAACCACAGACCCATACTTCCCCATTATGGAACCACAGACCCATTGTTCCCCATCATGGACCCACAGACCCATAGTTCTCATCACAGAACCATAGTTCCCCATCACAGAACCACAGACCCATACTTCCCCATTATGTAACCACAGACCCATAGTTCCCCATCACAGAACCACAGACCCATAGCTCCCCATCACAGAACAGACCCAAAGTTTCCAATGATAGCACCACAAACCTGCCACTTTTTCTTTTAACACATATAATAAAAATCCCATTAAAAAGAGATACTGGCAATAACAGAAGCTACCATAGGGAAAAACTTACTCTCACTCTGCAGCATCAGAAAACCAGTCATTTCCAGGGGTAAATTCCCCATGCCTGGGCATGTCCCTTTAAGACAAGCCTCTGCCATGCCTATGCACACTACTGCTAGAATTCTGCGAAGTGAGTGAAGTTGTTTTTTTTCGTGCTTCTCCCCATCAGGGTGACAGCACAGGATTGCACTTGTGCTATGTATCAATAATGCAAGTGACAGGGAACAAAAATACCCAGCGCAAGTGTTCAGCCCTGACCATTGCTCATGCAGCATGAAGAATAAACAGAAAGGATCTAGCAGCAGCTGTGTTTTGACAGATCCCAGCACATCAACCTTACCTGAGTGCAAGCTCTTCCTCCCAGCTGCCCTTTAATAATCCACAGGGAGCCTGGCACTGCCCTGGTGCCACCTACAACCCAGCCAGCCGCAGCATGCAAGGTGCCCACAGTGACCAGCCCAGGTTTGTGCTGGATTTTTTTTCTTTCCTTTGTGCCAGTTGAGGTGTGTGCCCTTAAGCAGGTCCTCTTTGTCTCAGTCTGGGGTCATCATGTCTCTTCATGTTGCAGGAGGTGGGGAGGGAGGGGGGTCTCTTGTAGTTACTTGGGTCCCCAGCAGCAGTCACCAGCTCCGTGCATTTAAAGGGATCTCCTTACTGAATTCCGGGCGATTGCCCCGCTGGCCCCTTTGTGCTGCGATCTGACTTGTGAGCGTCTCATCCCGTCCTCAGCATCACTCCGCTCGCCCGATCTCCCCCTGCTCCTCTCCCGTCCCCCTCCAGATTTCAATCTGCCTCCGCTCCGCTTTCCCCAACTCAATGGAGAAGGCCCCGCCCCCCGTGGTCACGCCCCCCTCCAGCGCTGTTGCAGCCAGGCCAGCCTGGAAACAGGATCGATATTTGCATAGCAGCGCCCAGATGCCCACTGGTGTTCGCTTAGCCACGCCCCTCTCTGGCTGGGAGCAGGCGGCTCCGCACAATGGGAATATGGGAGGCAAATGTGGCAGCGGTGTCACCTACAGATACATGTCTGCGCTGTGCTGATAGCTGCTCCAGCAGCAGACGGGAATAATCGCATTTCCACAAGCAAATAGAGTTGCTCCTTTAAGCAGCCTGCTTAGACAGCGATCAGGATGAGTGGCATTGGGAGGCAAAGCAGAACCTGGCTGCCTAAACACTTTTCAGGCTGACCTGTCAATCACATGCAATGGTCACTGAGATTGTTGGGTATGGCAAAGGGCTCCTGGGTGAGAAAAAATTTAAACCCCCCCCCCAATTCAATTAGAGCGAACAGCTAGGGAAGCCTTTCTCATCCTTTTTACCCCAGAGCAACCTTTACAATTTTTTTCAGGAGTCACAGAACCCTTGCTAAAAACATTTAGACCGACCGTTCGTGGAATGCTAAATCGTAGATCGTTTTAAAGGCACAGGCTGCCTATAAAGGAAAAATACGCATTACATTTTTGCCCATAAGCCTGCATTTTTTGCATTTGATCAGAGGATGGCGGCTGCAGTGTTCAGCCTCCTGCAGACTATTGCCCCAGCTCCAGGTCCATATGCAGGTACGGACCCCCGGTTATGGAGCTGGAGGGCATCACTTTACTTGTTTTTCATTACTATGAGTTTCTCTGTCGCGGTGGCAGATGAGACTTGTAATGGATCTGTGAATGGATGGCATGGCTGTGCAGGTGGAGCCAGATTCTATAGAATATACAGAAGCTGCGGGAAGAAAAATGCTGTGATTTAGCAAGGGGGGGCCGGTTTGAGGGTCGGGGCTGCAAAATTGCACCATGTTTCATGTTCCACCCTAAATATGTAATAATAGGAAGAACGAAATGCAGACAGTAAAAATTGTGGTGTCCACATAGGCAGTCAGTAGAAGTGCCCCCTTTGCTTTGCTGGTCAGTGTAGTGACCTCTTGTATTGGTGGTCATTGTAGAAATGGCCTCTTGTCATGGTGGTTAATGTAGAAGTGTACCCTTGTATCAGTGGTCATTGTAGAAGTGTCCCCTTGTATTGGTGGTCATTGTAGAAGTGCCCCCTTGTATTGGTGGTTATTGAAGAAGTGCCCCCTTGCAGCGATGATCATTGTAGAAGTGACCTCTTGCATCGGTGATCATTGTAGAAGTGACCTCTTGTATCGGTGATCAGTGTACAAGTGACCCCTTGCATTGATGATCAGTATAGAAGTGACTCCTTGCATTGCTGATCAGTGTAGAAGTGACCCCTTGCAGTGATGATCAGTGTAGAAGTGACCCCTTGTATCGGTGATCAGTGTACAAGTGACCCCTTGCATTGATGATCAGTATAGAAGTGACCCCCTTGTATTGATGATCAGTGTAGAAGTGATCCCTTGCATTGATGATCAGTGTAGAAGTGACCCCTTGCATTGATGATCAGTGTAGAAGTGACCCCTTGCATTGATGATCATTGTAGAAGTGACCTCTTGTATCGGTGATCAGTGTACAAGTGACCCCTTGCATTGATGATCAGTATAGAAGTGACCCCTTGCATTGATGATCAGTGTAGAAGTGACCCCTTGCATTGATGATCACTGTCACATAGAAAAAAAGGTAGCAAGTCACTTTCTCCCCCATATCTTGGAGTTTGGGTATTTCTTTTCACCCATGGTGGCCAAATGGAATGAGCCAAAGGTGAATGTGTGCTGCTGGTGCAGCCACCATTAACATCAACCTATTTCTTTGCCCTGAATGGGAAAAGGATAGGTTCTCTTTAAAGCATATACTTACAGTGCCGTTCTCTACAGTATTGAAGATCACCCACTACCATTGGCAGAGTAAAGGGACTAAAATGATAGTTGTGCTTTAAGATTGGAGCTACCCACAGCGTATCCTGGCATAGTTAGTGAATCCACCTGACAAAAGTTTTTCCCATGCTTGGATTGGATGAGCGTTCATGTTTATGCCTACGGAGAAGGGGTAAGGAGATGATAAAGACATGATATGATTAAGATATAAATATAAACATAAAGACATGCTAGACATGACTGGCACCGGCTTGACATGGAGGAAAACATTATCAGCTGGCCATCCAGAGGGGATGTCTGAATAGGTCAGGGATTGCATGGAGACACGTGGTTGTCCAATCTGACTTTAGCTAGGTAGGTGAAGATCATCTCACCTCTGAGGCTACTTTAAGACCGGAGATGATTGCTGCATATATCGGGCCACCAGCATTTAAATCTGGAACCCATTCTATATATAGGGGCACACCATCACCTCCGTAGACAACCCAATTAAAAGGAAAATTGGTCCCCTGAAATTCATTATCTTATCTATTGCTTCCCCCAGGATAAGACCGGCATCTATTGTGATTGGATGACTTAAAAAGCTCATTGGATTCTTCATTCATCTCTGCTGATAGAGCGCAGATGAAACATAATTTATTATTATCACTGTTATCATTTGCATAATTGTAATTATTATGAGCCTCACCATCATACTCCATGGCATAGTACAGCCGGCACGGCACACTTCCAGTCCTGCATAATCCTCCACTGCAGCCAGCAGACCGCTGCCAGGTAAAGGGGCTCTGAGGCTGACTATCCATTCTCTATAAGACCAAGGCCAACGCAGGGCTGGATTTCCCACACGGCCAATCAAGGCCCGGCCTCGGGGCAGCAGGGAGTAGAGGGGCAGCAGGGGTGTGGAATTCCTATCTCCTGATGCCCGGGCAGGTCATTGTTTTCTACATTTAGCCCTGCTTTAGGCAAGCGGAGCTAAATGTTCAGCGGGGAAGCCGCTGCTTGTTTTCTACAAGTGATCTCTGCGACATTGTATGCAGCCTGCAGGTCTGCCATTCTCCATGTGGGGATGCAGGGAGTAGAGGGGCAGCAGAGGTGTAAAATTCCTATCTCCCGATGCCCGGGCGGGTAGTTGTTTTCTACATTTAGCCCTGCTTTGGGCATGCAGAGCTAAATGTGGAGCGGGGAAGCCGCCGCTTGTTTTGTACAAGTGATCCCGGCGACATTGTATGCAGCCTGCAGGTCTGCCATTCTCTATGGGGAGAGGTTTGGTAGGTGGGGGGGCGCATTGAGGAACCTGGCCTTGGGGCAGCAGAGAGAGTA